GTTAATTTGTTTTTTGTCATTTTGAATACACAAAATACTTTTTTGGGGCCAGCACTGATTGGCCAAGCAATCTCACGTGATCCTCTGCAGCAAGTGATGGCCAAGCGGGGCGTGTCATCACAACTTTACACAAGTGTGTCTTTACCTCCATGGCAGAGGCTCCGCCGAACCCCTGAGACCAGCTCATCGAACCCAGGTTAAGAACCACTGGGCTAAAAGAATTGACAAAACACACTGTGCCTTTAATCCACCCTGAACAGGGAAATGTAAAACTAACATTTAAACACAGGGTAACATTAAGATTTGCTCAAAAACAAACTATAAACATGACCTGAGAGGGGTGAACATACCAATGAGTTCTGGAACTGTTTGTTTACATTCCCTGTGGTTCTATCTGAGCTGGGCTGATTTAACATCAGTTACTGTTCACTGGCCGGGTTACATCACACAGATGAGATTAACTTCATGTTAGTTGTTTGTAGTGACTAACCTTTTTTTGTTTTGTTTTGTGCTTTCACACAGAGTTAAACTCTACAACAAGAAGCTAACATTAGCTAAAGTTAGCTTACCTTTCTCTATCATGCTGCTCTCTCGTCTTTAGCGTAAAACTGCTGGACATTATTATCGTTGTATCGCAAATAAAACTAAATTAGATTCTTGAATTTAATTATGATGTCACCACATGGAGAAGGCTCTGGGCCGGGTTTAGAGTAGGACAAGCTGAGAGCAGCGACGCCATCTGCTGGATGAAGTCCAAACTACACCGAAATAAGGTTTAAACAGATGTTTTCATTTAATTGAATGGAAGAAATTTTAATCTAATAAACCATAATTCGACCTCATTCCTAGTGATGAACAAATACTGTCAGAGAAATGTTAAAAAAATAGGTTAAGACTTTGACACATGAATTCCTTGTTGGAAATGGCCTCTCTCAGCAGAAAAATGATCCACGTGGTGACAAACACAGAAATCAAACAGAAAACTTTGTGAATTTTTGCTGAGTTTTATGATTTAGGATCCTGATCTTTAAAGCATGAATAGTGCCATAGCAGTATGTTTAATGCCAGTTTTTAATGTCAATATTTTAGTTCATTTATTGGGATGTTTCACCACAGCAGCACTAACTAAAAACATGTTCAGACTGCTGTATCAGCTGTAATCTTCATTTCAGATTAAACAAAAACTTTGTTCTTCATTTAATCCTACCTGAGAAAACTCAGCTCAGTTAAATGTTGCTAATCTGGCTTCATGTCTGGAGCTGAAGTTCTTAAACAACAAAAATAATTTATAAACATATTTCATGTTTTGGTCCAAATTTTGTTACAGTTTTTTTGTTGTTGTGAAATTTAAACCCAGTAAAATCTGTCTTGTGTTTGCTATCATTAAATCTGTTTATAGTTGAATCTGCTGATATTTTAAAATGAATTAAATGTTATCGTTTTGTTGAAAACTAATCAGTTTCACTTCATAATGTAAATTTGTAGATGCAGATTCAAAACTGTAAAATGAGTTTTTCATATTGTTTTTTTATTTGCCAGGATTTGTAAGCGAAACTTTTATTTGACCAATAATACATTTAATATATCAGAAAATATTCAGTCAGATAAACTGATTTTGATTTAATCATTGGTGTGGTGTGGAGCTGTTTAGAACAAAATCAGCATTTAGTAACAAATTGGTTATTCAAGGTAAATTATTATAGATTTCCACAGAATATTAACTGTTTTGCACTGATAATTTTTTGCAGCAGGTAAAAAAATTGTAAACACTTGTAGCCTTTGGCAGCTTCTTAAAGTGACTTAAATGGGTTATGTTGAAATCAGTGAACACTGTTTTACACATGCAGAGCTGCTTTACTTCTGTTGAGTCTTCAGTCTTCTCTCCTCAGTTAAAGCTGCAACAGTCGGTTCTGGAGGTCCAGCTGAGCCCCTTCAGCATCCTGCTGAGGTCTGTGCTCAGTCAGCTGCAGGCCAAGGACCAGTACAGCATCTTTGCTCAGCCTGTCAGCATCAAGGAGGTTTGTTACTGGAACCAGTTTCAACTTCAGTTCTTTTTTTATTTCATTGTTTGAGATTTTAGGGTTTTATTTTTGTATGTTTGTTTTTTTTTTTTTGTTTATTTGACTGCTGTCTATGAAATAAATAGCCCTAAGTAGATAATACAGATTCTTGAACTTAATTTATTGCCATGGAGTTTCAAGTAGTTTGTGGCTAATTTACTGAAAAGGAAACATGATTATCACCTAGCTTTAGCACAAAAGAAACCTTCACAGAGCAGCCTGAGTCATGACAGTAAGACATGTCTTCACCATGAATTTTTGAAAGTAGTGTACAGTATTTAAAGAAGTTTCAAAATTCTTTTAGATTTTAGTTTTTTTCTGCAGCATGCCCTTTTTCCTGTAAATAAAAACATAATAAAGCCTCATTCCTTCTTCTCAGTCTACAGCTCACATTTGTCTTGGTTGCCCACCCTCCACCCCCACTGCAGGTCCCTGACTACATGGAGCACATCAAGGAGCCCATGGACTTCTCTACCATGAGGAAACGAATCGACGCTCACGATTACAGGAGCTTAGACGAGTTTGAGGCAGACTTCAACCTCATAATCACCAACTGCATGAAATACAACGCTAAGGACACATTCTTCTACAAAGCCGGTCAGCGGATGCAGGACCACGGAGGAGTCATCCTCAGACGAGCACGCAAAGAGGTTGAGAGGATCGGCTTTGACTTCCCCAGCTGCTTGCACTTGCCTGAAGCCCCCAAACTGGAGCCACCACCTCTCTTCTCCTGGGAAGATGGTAAGTAGATGTTTAACAGTTGATACGTTTATAGATACTGCTCTGACAGAGGAGTGAAACACGCCACTGGATAATCAGCTTATGAGGGTCAGAACAAAAATCTTAAAACTGATGTTTTCAGGCTCCCAAACATCTATTTGAAATGTTTTCTTTCTAAAAGAAAAAAAAAATCCACACTTTATTCAACTCACTGGTTCTTTTTTCCAAATCTTTCCACATTGTGCCTTTTTTACACCTCAATGCTGTTTTTGTATCTATGAAAGTGAAATATGTTGCAGTCTGTAATGGAAGAAAGTTTTTTTTTCCTGCAGGTCAAAGTATTTTAAGTAAAGAGGAGTATACAATGTAGGGATGGCGTGATTTATGATTCAATCGTCTATCTGCGATTGAAGGGTTGGAATGTGATTTGATTTTTTTAAGGGCGATCTTTATTAATTAATTAAATGTTGTGCCAGGGATGTAAAATAAATTTTAAATGTGCCCTTCTCTGTAAATTAAAATGTTTTAATCATCATCATTATGATCTGTGCAAATGAGGGAATAAAATAAGAGTGCTGCGTCTCTTTTTTTCTTTTCTTTTTTTTTCTCTGAGTCGGAGCAAACATGTGCATGCAACATGTCTCTTCACTTCTCTCTCCTCGTCATAGTGCTATATTATAACATTTAGTTACAAAACCAATAATCCATGACAAGCATACATTTGAACAAGTAACTTTAACCAGTTCCAAACCGCCGAATAACCACAGAATTTACAAGCAACTTTAGGAGAAAAGTAGCCGTCGCTTATAATGAGCAGATCTGCTTGCTTTTATTTTTTTCTTCTTTTTTTTTTTTATCAACGTAACTACGCATGCCTTATCAGCCGATTGGATCGTCTATCGGCGATAGCCAGTGACCATGATTTATGATCTGATAAAGGGGACGATTTCCCATCCCTAATACAATGACCTTGGTAAAGGTATACAGTTAGTGCTCTCTAATAAAGTGTTAAAGTTTTGAGGAGACTTTAGTCTGAGCCATTTAAATTCTCAAGACTGATATTTTTATTTAAAAATATATAGCACATATTTTTTATTTATTGTAGTACATTTATCACAATACAGTTACCTCTCAGTATAGTTCTAAATATAATCAGGCTCAGGACAAAATACCCTCAACACTTTGTTGTATCTAAAGCACTTGGTAGAATTAAATTTTGCAGATATTTATGATAAACACCTGAAGCTGACTCTCAGAGAGAGAACTTTGATTCTGGGGGAAAAACAAAGTCTCATCTTTGTTATAATCTGAGGCATATAAATGTTTGTCTTTTATGCTATTATAACGTTAATGTTGTTTAATTAAAAGAACAAAAGTGAACCAAAATGAAAATAGGTTGTGTTGAACAACCTAAAAGCCCTCATGTTGACCCCTGTGAACCAAATTGTACCTGGTCTCGTCCCCAGCATTTGAACTGTAGCAAAGAATAAAGTAAGTCCTTTAATTTCACACAGACATTTATAAAGTTGTTAACAGATGAAGTCAGTTGCATCATTAGTTCAAACAGAGATGCTGAAACTCCGACGTAGAGGTACGCCTGTAATTCCATTTTTGTTTCTTTCTCAGTGGACCACCTGCTGACCCCCTCCTACCGTCAGCTGACCCCGCTGAAGGATCAGCTGAAGGAGCTCCTGGAGAAGCTGGACCTGAGCACTGCCATGAAGAACAGCCCATCCCGCAGTAAGAGGCTCAAACTGCTCAAAAAAACTATAATGGAAGTTCGCAGTGAGATGAGCTTGAAGAATTCTCTCCCACCACCTCCACCACCCATCACCTTGGATCTTGTCCCAACTCCCACTCAGTTGGAGGAGAACCCACCACCAGAAGCCCCAGCGCACCCTCTACCTCCACCAACATTAGAGCTGTTAACCTCACCATTTCAGCCCGAAACCTCACCCAGCAACTCAGAACCACCCTCCCTCAAGCCCTTCACTCCCCTTTCAGACGGGACTCCCATTGAGCTGTCTGAAAACACAAACACGTCTACCTCAGTGCCCGCAAACATTTGCAACGGGTACATTCCAGACCAGCTTCTTTTCAATGGCGACATTCACGTGGAAGCATCTAGAACCTGCAATCGACGGACCAACATCCTCTTCCGTAAGTCCAAGAGTGCCAGTCCACAGAAACCACCTAAGGGCCAAGAGGTGTCAGCTGTGGCACAACCATCCCTGGGCGCCAAAACCTTCCTGTCAGTGGTGATCCCTCGACTGGAGACGCTCCTCCTGCCGAAGAAAAGAACTCGCTGCAGCAGCGCAGACAGTGAGGAAGATGGGGAGACACCAATCAAACGTCTTGGCACAGGTGCACACTTTAAAACACTTTTAGAAAAACATAACCCAGCTGTAATGAATTTACCTTGTTTTACATGCACAGTGAGTGACACATGCCCTGTGTTTTGTTGTCTTGTCAGAAGTAACAAATGGTTTTGTGATGGAGGAGAAGATGGTTTCCCAGTCGCCTCGGCTGCTGGAGCCGCGTCGCCGATGTGCCTCAGAGTCCAGCATTTCTTCCAGCGGCAGCATCTTCTGTGGAACAGGGTGACTGAACCTTTTTGGTTTTTTTTCTTCAAGTTGAACACTGACATCATGACACCTAAAATTAAAACCATATGTAGAAATGACATCTGCCTAAAATACAACACAAAAACATGGCTATAATCAGCATATAAAATGTTTGGTCAGGTTCTCAGGGGAGAACCTAGGGTTGTTTCGTGGTCCTTATATTTTCCTGAACTCATTTAAGACATTTATCTAGAGGGGCAGTGTTGCCAGGTGTACAATAATTATCGTATTTGTACCATAATTTTGCCCTCTGTAAGATGTACGATCAATAATCCCAAAAATCCCATAATGTACGATAATTTGACCGCTCCAATGTGTGACGTAATTGACCTGACACGCTGCTCGCTGACATAAGAGGTGGCGGGCTGTGGAACACAGCGGTGCTGATTTAGCGACTTCCTCGCTATATTTACAGACTTTTCAGACCCTCTAGAGACTGTTACTCAGAAAAGTGACTAGTGAAAATCTAGTGACACTTTTTCTGGCGTTATTAAGACTTTGAGAGACTCTGCCGTGAACACATTTCTCCACTGTGCTGCTGAGAGCTCCTCCTCCCCGGTCCCAGAGCACCGACAGGAGGCTTCTTCATGCTGCGTCTCTCCCTGCTGCAGGTAGATCTCCATCCCATCCAGACATGAAAGGAATACTGCTGCTGCGACTGATCCATGATGGGATGTTAATAAAAACACTTCTATGGCTAAAAATAGATCATAGATCCCTTTGCCGGTCCCTAGCCAACAGAAAGGAAGGTTTGAGCTGTGACAGTAAAATTATATAAATATAAATAACAAAGGAGCAACAGAAACTTCTTTTTGTTCTCTTGACATAGCCTACTACTGTCTCTAAAGAGAAGACTGGCTGCCACGACACAGTCGTTTTTAACCCTTTTAAAACTCTACTTCCTACCAGCTGGTCAAAGAATCAAACGTCCAATGAGACACAAAAAGGATGATTCATATATTGAGTTGAATGTAGAATCTGTCTCTAAAATAGATATGAAAGTGTTTATTTATGATGTTTAAAATATGTTTAACAACATGCAAATACACCAGAATGCAGGAAACAGCACCTATTTCATTCAAAGTTTTCTGGGGGAGAACACCCCCTCCCACATTGGGGTTATGATGGCAACTAGTAGCAGCAAAGATAAATATAATAGTACTTATGTGAAAGAAATAATAACTGTAAAATCAAAAAGAAAAGGTGGGACTGAGAAGGTGAGGGGTATAAGCAACATTTACATTTAATGAACATCCAGGTGTCATCCAGAAGATATTTTTAAAAGAAAAAAAAAAAACAGATTTTGGAGGCTTGCAGATTAAATTTGCTCAGTATGTACTCAATTTATTTCTTGACTAATCAAAAGTACAATAAGCTGCAATGATTTGTTCTTTGCCTGATTTAATTTTAACTTTGCCTATAATTTACATTTTATTCTAGTCATTTTATCTAACATTTCTTTTTATATGCAGCATTTCCCCAGACTCCATGTTTTGTTCTTGTTTACAACAAAGCTTTTGTAAAAGAAAAAAAAAACAGACACCCAACAGTGTTTTTTAACTTTATTATAAACAAAAGAATGTGCAGTTTGTTGAATACAGAGCACATTGTGAGCTGAGCAGGATGTAAATTTGAGCCTCTCTACAATGTAACTTGGGTGTGTACGTTAATTTTCCTCAAAATACGATAATTATGAGCTGCTGATACGATAATTCAACATTTCCCATCTGACCCCTGTAGAGGGGTGTCAGGACATGTTAACATCACCCTGTTCTGTTTTATGACACCTTCTATCAGCTGGTAATGTCTCAGGATGTCATGCCAATCTTCAATCCACCGAGAGTTTTTATTTTATTTTTTTACTCTGCATAAACTTTGTAAACTATGGTACTTAAGTAGCCAAGGGGCTGGCCCTTGGGCATTTATCACATAAATATCTCAAACATTTCATGGTTAAAGGTCTTTTGGATTACACATGCCCCTCAGATGGACAGCTCCTGTAGTTTGGCCTTCTGGATATTTGGTCTTGGCTTAACCAGCTTTTACACACTTCGGTCTAAGCAGTAAATATCTGTCTTTTGCACAAAATATCTTAAAACTACAAATGTTTTATCTGTTAGACTGATAAAAAAAAAGACTATTTCATTCCAAAATATTATATTGTTTAGATGGTTTCAGCCTGTGTAATCATTTTAAATGATTTATTCTTCATATTTGATAATTTATTGAACTACATTTATCCCAGAGCAGTTGTGTGACAGTATGGTTCTAAATATAATCATAGTACATCAAGAACCTTGTTTCTATAAAATTGTGAAGAGTGAAATTTGTGGCTCTTTATGATAAATTAGAAGAACATTTGAAACTCTTTCACCTAGAGAACATGGCAAGTTTTGTTTTTTTTGACACAGGGTGACATTAAATAGTGAGTCATGTTGCAAACAAATGTTCTGTTAGAGTTAATATGGTTTAATTAGAAGAGCTCAAACAGTGAATCACAGAAAGACTCGGCCTGTGCGCGCAGCGGCGCTCTTTCATTGCAGCATTCTCTCATGAGGAGAGAGGAGTTTAGTCACTCATACAAAGTTGGACAGATCTGTTCGATAACGACACTTTGAACACATAAATATTTAATATAAAGTCAGGTTTTAGAGACCAAAGCCTCTGGTAGCTCAGGAGTGAAGTGCAGAAGGAGATGTCTGCTCACGGACTGACCACTGCAGCTACTGCTTTAAGCTGCAGTTTGTCTCCCACTGAAAGTCCCGCTCCGCTCTGCTGATTGGATAAAACGGTTCTGGGGTTCGTCTGATTCGTTGAAAGCTGTGTCCATTTAATCCTGATAGAGCAGGGTCCTGCCACCCTCCTCGAACAACAACCGGTGCGATTGGATTTTTTTTAAAGAATAAATTTATATTTGTGATCTGATTTGTATGTATGTATGTGGTATGCAATTTGTATGTGTATATGTTTACATGTATATACAGTATAGGCACATTATTTCATTGCCCACTTCTGTACACTACATGTACTCATCTCAGATCGCTCCTGTGTTTGACTTATTCTTAGTACACTTTTGAAAGCCAATAGTAATATTCAGAGCAGTTTTGACATAATTATTATGTCTGAAAACCAGGTCAGAGTTGCACTTTTAAAGGGAAAATATCATGTAAAATCAACTTTTTTGAGTTTTATATCATGTTAAAATGTTACACTCTCATAAAAAACATGCCCAAAGCCTTGCTCTGACTCATTCATGCATGTTTGAGAAATCCTGCAGTGTTTTTAGGAAGCCATGCTGAGGAGCAAAACAACAGGTGGGGACCAGAAACGCCCTTTGGGGTCCAGGAATGCCTCTGGGATGTGTCTTTAAGCCGAGCTAACACACACACCCACACACACACACACACACACAAACACAAACAAAAACAAACAAACACGCCCTGCCCATGACTCCTGCAGGCTCTTGGGTGAAACTGAAAGTGAGAATTAAACTGTCTTCTGAGCTCCTAACACTACTTCTCACTCAGTGAAGCTCTTTTCAGATTCAAAATAC